AGAAGTGAAGATTTTCTTTTATGTCTATCCCCAACAATATAAGCAATGTGCACAATATTTCTTACAATGGGAGCGTTAGTTGAAGGAGAATTTTTCATAACAAATTCTGATATAGTACCTATTGAGGGAATAAAACTATATGCTCTATCTACTGCAATTTTTCTAGCGCATTTTATAGATTCAGGACCTTGACAAGACAATAATGCTAATTGGCAGATACCTGAAGTAAATTTTGATAAAGTGCTACGCACACCAACATCCCAAGAAACACCAGATAGAAAATGACGGTATTGAGGAGGAATTCCATATGTTGAAACATGAATTATTTGGGAAACACCTTCTTTCCTTGTATGTGTCCAAGAGTCAGGGCCTATTTGAAGTTCTCTCATTCTCTCTCTAAATAATTGCAACAAACACATAATAGCGTGTGCTTTTGAAATAAATTCAATCTTTTCTTGTCTTTTAGTTGCAGCATCAACAGCTTTTGAGCGAGTAATATCCATAAAAACTTTTGCCCAAAGAACTTTCATTTCATCACATGTAAGAATATACTTATTTCCTTTCACAAAAAACTCTTGTTTCATTAGTCTCATTTTATTAATGCGAGCAGAAGTAGTAATAGGATTGTTTATTCCTTTAACATATTGATGAATTCTATAAACAATATTAAAAATATGTGTGCTAGCAAATGCTTCATAACATAATGTGGGACTAATTGACAATTTTTCGCAGACAGCAAGAATTAACGCATATTTAATTACTGTATCTTTTTCGCCTTTTTCTATGTTCTGTATGCCCATTCACCTATTATTTTCAATAGGCTGTCCTAAATGATCAACAGCAATTCTTTTCATTTTGAAAAGTGCTTAGTTGACAGATATTAAAAACAACTCGACAGACAATATGACTGTAAATTTAAGATGTAGTGTTTTTTGCTCTCGAAAACGCAATAATTGAATATGATCACTTTTATCCAAAATGTAATAATCATAACATAAAAGCACCTAGTTCCATTAAACCTCATATTGGCTTATACAGTGCTCTGTATATCAATAAGTTCAGAATTGCATATGAGGTTTCTTAAATGGCGATTTGTATTCATAATAGGAGCATTAATATTCTTTTTCTTACACATTATATCTGAAATTGATTATTCTCTGTGGGAGGACCACACCTTATACTTGACATTGTTATGTGTAACAAAAGTCATAAACAACTTCTTAATGTCTCATTGCATTTTTAAGATCTTCAATTTAAAATTGAGGCACTTTAAATTGCAACTTACAATGGTTGTTTTATTCCTTACATAATAATAATAAGGGCCGCAAAGCAATGTTGTGAATTACTTAATGTGTGAAATATTGACTTCTTTGCAAAAAAAGCTTATATGAAAATTGAAAACCTTGTATTTTAAAAACGTGGTTTAGTCATATCTTTTTTTCCTTTTTTCGTTAAAAATATACAGTATCAAATACTTATTTAATTATATTTTTTTGTTTTTACAGTTTTTTGAACGAAAAATTGGAATAGTACTATGATTTGAATTTTTTTTATGATGAATTTCTTTTTAATCATCGTGGCCAAAGAATGTAATAAAATTACGGAAGTACAACTATTACATTTACCTTTGCAAATAACCGTACTGTTATTTCATTGTCAACCATATATTATAGTATTTCAACTAGAAATCTTTAAAACCTTACGTAAATTCTATTTATCGCGTTGTTTATTTATATGCCAAGGAAAACTGATTGTAAATTCCTACAGGTGCAGTACCCCCTTAGCTAAAAAAAATAACAAAAATCGTTTGAAATAAACCAAATTTGATTTACAGTAGCTAACATTTTTTAGTAATTTTTTGACAGTGAATCATACATACAATTTATTTTTGATATGTATTACACAGTTTTTAAAAATATAATGATGAATCGCGTAGGGGTCCTGAAATCAACCGTACATGTGGGTTGACTGCTGCAGTATCTGTGGTGCTTTTGTCCGAGACGAAACATCAAGTGCTGCGGTTGGATCAAACGCTAATCTGAATATTGAAAAATAGAGAAAATAAATTTTTTCCATTCAAATATATGCACAATATATTAAGATTTTTATTAGGTAATGTTTATAACCTTATTATCAAGGGTCTGAGCTTGACTTGCAATATAATAGTTATAGTGCACACGTTATTTTATTTATTTATTTTTTTAAATTTTATTCTGTAATACTGCCAACAAAATTTCTAACATTGAAATTATTGTTCACTTCCACATACTCAATACAAGCAATGAAAGTCGTTTTTAATTGAACAAACAATTATTCAGCAGCATATAAACTTTCCCTGTCTTAAAAGATTGTCAAGCTTTTTTTATTTGTTTGATGTGCCATTTGTTAAGACAAATTGTGTGGTTTATTTGTTGGGGCTTACAAAAATCCGTCTCATTAAAATTAATTATAAAAAGTTTAAAATGATTCAGAACGGTATTTAACTAGTTTGGTTCCTTAAAACGAGAAAAAAAACTAAATTATAATTTTGATTAATTAAAAAGGAAGACACGCTTAACGTATGATTGTTTTGTAATTTTATAATGCCCCTCAGTTACGATGGATACGTTTTTCTTTAACAAAAAGGTTTTTAATAACTTTTAAGGGTAAAAATATGGATAAAATTGTTTTATGGTACTGTATTATGTATTACCTATGCTTGTTACAGAACAAGCAGATACATTAATTTAGGCACTCCTAGTTTTAAAAAAATTATTTTTTTTTACTTTCTAGTCGAAATTTTTCACTAATTATTTAACAATTATGTTGTAGACTACGAATAACTATTATTTTTTATACATGACCTTACGTACGTTTTAATTGTACTTAAGACGATGATACGACACTTGTCCTACATAAATATAAAACGCGAATCATATATACAATTAATTTTTTATATATCTTGCAAACTTTGTTGAAATATAATGATGAATCGCGTAGGGGTCCTGAAATCAACCGTACATGTGGGTTGACTGCTGCAGTATCTGTGGTGCTTTTGTCCGAGACGAAACATCAAGTGCTGCGGTTGGATCAAACGCTAATCTGAATATTGAAAAATAGAGAAAATAAATTTTTTCCATTCAAATATATGCACAATATATTAAGATTTTTATTAGGTAATGTTTATAACCTTATTATCAAGGGTCTGAGCTTGACTTGCAATATAATAGTTATAGTGCACACGTTATTTTATTTATTTATTTTTTTAAATTTTATTCTGTAATACTGCCAACAAAATTTCTAACATTGAAATTATTGTTCACTTCCACATACTCAATACAAGCAATGNGGAAGTTGACTTTATTGGTAAAAATAAATTTTTTTTACCTAATAAAATCTGACATTTTAAGATGTGAAGTGTACAGTGAAAGAATTATATATTTAGAAAATTTTATTTGTTTATTAAAATTTTCTCATGTTGGTTGTGAGATAATGCAACTTTAAAAATAGTGACTAGTGAATAATGAATAACTATAAAATAATTAATAACTCGAAAGCTGTATACTAAACTAAAAAATAATAAACAGTGGAATTTCTTTCTCTGGTGGTAAGTGTAGCAGATGTGACTTACGTATTAGCGTTTGTAATATTTATTTTATTACGGTGTATGGAAATCAAATAAAACAAAGCAGTGTGATACATTTTTCGAATTGCGTTTATATAATTTTTTATCATCTAAAAATATTGTGTTATGTGAATATGCCTCGTTTTTTCTATCTAGTTATTATATTAATTTTATGCGTCAATCGATTAAGAAGTTAAAAATTGAAGAGAAATCTGTGATACCATGTACTTTTATGCGATAATTGCGGATAATTGTCGATCCTTGAGTGTTTAGGAAGACATCAATTTCCGCAAGTATTTACGTGTTTGTTTACATATAAGTCTAGTTTATTTTATTTATTTAATAATTTGTTGTACTGTCCTTGTGCTGTCTATTTTTGTGTCTCATTCTATGATGTACTGAATCACCAATCTTGATCATAAAATATATGTTTCTTAAAACAAGTTTTGTCAAAATTCTTGATAAAGCATCCAATGATACCTCAAGATCATAAGAAAAACAGATGGATTCACCACTCTGGATTTGGAGTTCGACATTGACACGGGGTTGCTTTTCAGCTGTGGATGTCTTAAATAATACATAACAAACATATATTTTTCATGGCAATGAGTAGATGGTTTTAAAATTCAATAAATAGCAAAATAGTGCGGTTAACATGAAAACTGATTATAACGTGTGAGTTATTGAAATTGAAGTCGTGGTTTAAAGATTTTTACTATACGTAAATTTTAATCGCGATATTAGTTATCATTTTTCACCGCAAAACCTACGGTTTAAAATTTTTTGAAACTGTTATACGGCATTAAATTGAAAAATTTCAAATCATAAGCTCAACGAGTATACCATTTATTGGGTTTTTAAAAATATTTTTTCCGATTCGTCGTGAATTGCACGCGATAAAAGTTCTCTTTCTTAATATTTAACCAATCACTACCGTATCGAATGTTTTAATTTTTATACATTATTACTATAGTCTTAATGTTAACTTAGATCCGATAAATATTTTGATTATACCAATAAAATTTATAACGAAATGTGTTCAACATTTAAATTTATCTTACGTCAACGTATTTATCCTAATTATCATTAATGCTCTTCTGCTAAAAGAATACCTATAAACAATGATCCCCTAAAAAAAAAAAATCAAAACAAAACATTGACCGATCTCAAGTGGGTTCTGCTCCGCGTATGCATGTATAGTGTCCCTGCTCGTAACGTTAACCACCTCTCAACGATGGATCCCACATCTTCTGCGCTTCTTGGTCAACTCTGGCACCATCAAAACCCTCTGTCTCTTCTTTCACGTTCACAAACGAAGCGCTCGTTGGGTGTATTATTTGTCTACTGAAGTAAAACTTCAGTCCTAACCTATGTATCGTTGCTTGTTTGCCGACAGGTATCCTGGACCGCCCGGCCAGCAACCGGCTCGTTTCAAAAAGTTTGACGATGTCGCGCCACCCGGCACCGAAGGATACTACGATCTGCCGCCTCCTGGTGTCGATCACGTCGAGAGACCCAATTTGGTCAAAGATCGAACATCTCCCAAGGACAAGGAGGCAGACAGGTATATACTAGCAGAATCTAACGTCACCTAACCTATATAAAGCCGATGAAATTGTTTAACGTGACTATATATCGAGATTATCCACTTTAATGTTCTCTCCATGAGTATCTTGGTTCATTCAACCCCTCAAACTTTGATGTTTCCATCCAGCTACTTCATTAATGGTTTCACAGTCGAACTGAGAACAACTGAATCTCATCCACCCTTCCCTCGGTTTTAGGTACAAAGATGATCGCGACCGACACCGAGATGACAAAACCCGCAGTAGCCGTGGCGAGCGTGACAGGCGCGAGCGCGACTACGACTTCGACAAGGACAAACACCGCCATGATCGGTACGATAGACGGGCATCGGATCACAAGCACAGCAAGCGCAGCTCCAGCCCGTACAACAGCTCCAAGTACATAGACCTCAAGGACTGCACCCCCGATCGCTCGCGTGGCAAAAAAGACAAAGACCACGATGACGGCAAACCCGACGAGCGCAAGAAAGAAAAGAAGATCAAGGAGAAGAAAAAGAAGAAGGACAGCGACGAGAAAGAGAAGAAGAAGAAAAAGAAGAAGGAGAAGAAACAGGCCCTCATACAAAAGGAGGCGGCAGCCGCAGCAGCAGCAGCAGCAGCCGCGGCGGCGGCAGCAGCAGCAGCCTCGGCCGTCGTCAGTTCCTCCACGACCACGACTCTGCCCGTGAAAGTCAAAGTCAAGGAGGAGCCACAGTCCGGAGACGAGGCGACGACGAATCATCAGCCACCCGTTGTAGCCAGTGCGAAGGTCACAACCACACCGGTAGTAGTAGCAGCAGCACCACTACCACCACCACCACCACTACCGGTAGCTCTGCCCGAGAAGGTGGTGGTGAAAACCGAGCCCGTGGACGAGCCGAAAGTTGAAGTGACCGTCCCCGATGTCAAGCCTTTGGAAGAAGCTCAGCTGCAGCCGCCTGAGACTAAGCTTGGAGAGAAGTCGCCCCAGCAGCCGGTCGCCGAGCCGGACAGCCAAGCCACCGAGCCCGAGCAGGTGAAACAGGTCTCGGAAAGTCTCTACGCTGGCGTGGTGGACGAGACAGAAATCACCACCACCACGACTGCTACTACTGCGCCTGCGGTGGTCCAGCCTGAGGAGAGCAGTGAAGCTGCTCCGGAGCCCGTCGAAGGTGGCAAGGAGGATATCGAGTTCGAGGAGAAAGCGGCGAGCGTTGGTTCGCCAAAGAAAGAGGAGTTCCTGGCGCCTCTGCCCGAACTGTCTAAATGGGAGAGGGACGAGAACGCCGAGAAGTTGGACGACAGCGCCAATACGCCCGAGAAGGAGCCCCCCGAGGCAGACGATAGCAAGAGCACGAAGATTGTTACGACCGAGGTGCTCAAGAGGGCCGAGAACGCCATCTTCCAGAAGGCCATCAATGCCATCAGGCCTATCGAGATCAAGAAGATCAGCGACAGTAGGAAGATCCTCTATCAGAATCCAGAGCCCAAGGTAAGGTTCATTTCTGTTTTTGTCATTAGCTTGAGTTTTTGCTGATGTTTATGCATAATAATCGGGATGATTCCGCAGATCCTCGAGTCCGAGGTCGAACCTTCGCGTAAGAGCGTCAACGTGACGATCAACGTTGACAAGAACCAGCGCAACGTCGAGCTCATTTCGTCGGAGCCCCTGAAGAAGTCGTCGAAGCTGGAGCGCTCAAAGTACAAGGGGAGCTTGCAGGTGTCACCCACTCGGTTGTCGGTGAAGGAGCGCCTAGGTGACAAGGTCGAGGACGAGGCGAAGATGGCCAACATCAAGTGTGTTGTCGAGCAGCGGCGCATCGATACCGTCACTACCAAGGGTGAGATCACGCCCAAGAGCGGAAGATCACCAAGGATCGCCAAAGACAGAAGGATATCCCTGTCGATCGAGAACGCGCCCCTCATACCCAACCCTGAGCGCAAGGTTTACGTTGAAGACCGCAGGAAGAGGGACAGGTCGAAGCCTGACTCGATGATGGTTGAGGTATTTCTTTCGGTGGATAATGCAATTTTTTTTTTTTTTTTTCCAACTATAAACCAAACGTTTTTGTGGTTTAGGAATCCGTGAGAATCCACGATAGGTCAGAGATGACGCGCAAGACGGAGCGCATAACGCGCACACCTCCGCAGCCACCGGCGTCTTTCAAGCAGCAGCAACATCAGCGAGTCAAAGAGAAGGATAAGGAAAAGCACGAGGACGAAAACAACGAAAAAGAGGAGCGCAAGCGAGACAGGAAGATCCGAGACGAGGCGAAAAAGCGCAAGAAGGAGCACCAAAGCCGTAGCAAGTCGCGCGAGCGCAAGCGTCGCAAGGACAAGAAGCACAAGCGCGGACGTAGCAGTGAACGTCGGAGCAAGCAAAAGGACAAGGAAACGCCGGCCAAAGACAAGCCAGCTGCTGAGAATGACAAGGATAAGGGCAAGGAGACGGTGTCCGTGACGATAAGCAATTCGGTGGACATGGGTAATACCGCGGTCGAGGGGCACAAGAGGCAAAGGAGGAATCCTAAATTGGTGCCAGATAAGAAGAGGAGCCTCGACGAGGCTAACTTCGAGCCCGACTACTCGGCCTCGGATTCTGACTCCGATGATGATGACATGGCCACGCGCGTGGCTACCAAGCGCGCCAAGGTTGACGATAGTATCATCAACGTTGACGCTGAGAAGCCGCCTAAGAAGAAGGCTAAGGTGAGTTTTCATGAAAATTTTGTTTTTGGCACGCGAGACCTTTGGAAAACTAGAAAGAAAATAATTTTTTTTCCATTTCACAGTTGCCTAGCAGCTCAGAGAACGATGACTCGAGCAGTACGGATAGCTCGTCGTCGGAGAGCGACAGTTCGGTGGAGTCTCACCGAAAGAAGAAACGCAAACACAAGAAGCGCAAGAAGCGCAAGGCTCGTCGAAACGACAGTACCTCAGACTCGGACGCTTACTCAGACTCGTCGGACTCGAGTTCGGAGGAGGAGAAGCATCGTAAGAAGAAAAAGTCCAAGAGCAAGAGCAAGAAGTCAAAGAGCAAAAAGAAGTCGAAGCACAAATGACGATACTAGGTGCACCATACCGAGCCCAAAGTATCCCCTTCGAGTCATTTGCTCCCTGTGCTCACTTCAGTAGATGCATAAAAATTCTTTAAAACAGATTTTATGACGGGCGGATGCACGTGTTTGTGTTGTGCGTTTGATACAATAGACTTTTAATCGAGAAAAAAAAAGAGAATGTGTATGTGTACGTGTGCTTCTCTTTAATTTGTATAATACGTTGAACAGTGATTAAAAATGCAGTTAATACGCAAATTACACGCGCAAGACGTTTCGTTCCGCGGCACTAACTATTCAGTGGAGTGCGGTTTACATGTAATTTTATTATTANGACGATCTTTGAGCGAAGTGGCTTACTTTGCGCGCAGAGGCGGCAGCTGCGTTATTACAGAATATTGGTGATTGGTGCCTTGAGGCCATGTACACATCGATGATTAAACTATTTCTTATATATTTATATAAAAAATTGGTGCAAATAATTTGTAAAATTGTAATTACTTTTACATTGGTATTCAATGAAATAAAATTGGTTAATATTAAGTTCTAGTAATATTTTGTAAGTCCTCTTGTATCGTTTGGTGCTACCTGATGTTTGGTATTTGACATTTAATGTGCCAATAGTCAAATATAATCATGAAAAAAAAATGTTTACTTGTGTTTACTTTTTTTACGTATATTTAAAAGATGAAAAATAAGAGAAAAACTTTATTTTTTGTTCAAGCTGAAAAAATTTAGAAAGTTTCTTTAGTATGGTAGAAAACAATTGCATTTTAAATAAATATATAATCTGAACAATGTGCCATCTTATTTAATGTTATTATGAGATCTAATCTTTTAATTTATTACATACATAACTGTTCGTTTCAAAATTTCTGAGTAACATATTCCATCACCACATAATATATTTTTAATCAACTGCAGCTAAAGTTTTATTAAAAATAATTTATCTGTGACAGCAATTAACATTGATTTCTATTTGTATATTTTATTTCGATTCCAAGAACTACTTAAAAATAAAAAAAAATAAATTGTACTTACATACACTAACATCCAAATACCTCATTCTAGATTTTTTTTGTGGATGAAAAAAAATTAAATTTAAAAACTAAAGTGAGAAAATGCGTATGCAAGTGTGGATTATGTACTTGCGGTACAATTGCACACACTCACACGGAAAAAAAAGATTATTCTGTTCGTAAGTAATATCGAGTGTAGTGTGAAAGTTTTATACTTAAAAAAAAAAGTTTCTTAAAGAAATTTCGTGCCAACCGAACCCAAATCTGGGGTAATTAAAGATCTCTGTCTCTAAGTAATGTTTAAAAAATTACACTTTTTAATATAAATTTTTTTATTCAGTTTAAAAACTGTAAGTATACTTTTTCTTGATTTTGTCGCAGACATTGTCGTTGATATTTTAATCAACAATTAAAGTACAAAAAAGACCCTGAGTTTGAAAAAATGATTTGGAATTATAGCTACAAGAGTAAAATCTTAAAGTCTCCCCAATAGTAAAAAAAAAAAAGAAACAATTCTCTGATCAAAAGTCCGTCTGCATTAAAAAACAAAAAATAATCTATAATTATTCATTTTTTAAGCACTTGAAATTAATATACTTTACTTCTGTTTACGACTGATGACAGTCACTATCCATTTATTTTTATTTCCATATTGTAAACCATTGAAAATATTTGATAAAAACGAAATATTACAATACGTCTCAGTTTTGTATTTAAAAATAAAAGCAATCTAAGGGATATATACACTTACACAAAATCAATCAATATTTAAATTTCCTTTTAAACCAAAGGCAGCCAAGCGATAAAACAATTTCACTTTTCAAAAAAAAAAAAAAAAAAAAAAAAAAAAAAATCTTAAAAAAACACGTCGTCGTCGATGCTCATCGCGTAAGTTGGAAAAAAAGTAGCATTACATTACACATTATATGGTATACACGTTCTCCTCGCGCGCGCGTTCGCTCGCAAGCTTGCCTTGTAATTACGCGCGCGAACCGCAAAAGCACGCGCGCGGCTAAAAGAAGAAAGACCAAGAGAGAAAGAGATAAGACACGCAAGAAGAAGAGAAAAACACATTCAAGCCAAAAATAATAACAATGCTTTATAAAGTAATTACGCGCGAAATTAATTTAATTACAGTTATTACACACCACCACCACCACCGCTCCTCTCTCTCTCTCTCTCTCTCTCTATCCTCCCACCGAAAAATTATAGCACGTCAACCGAGAGTGCGGCTTGTATGTGTCTCCCCTTTGCCCCCCTTTTAAACACATGCACGGACAGACTTGTGTATTTATGTACACATAAATACCTATATGCCAACGTGCACCACCTTTCGAAAAAGGCATATAGGTGGTATTGTGAATAAGTAACCCTAAAACCTCGGAATCCAAGCGCCCTTACCAGATATTACAACGACCCGCGCACCGGGAGTTCACAACACAAAAACTAAGAATGAAATAACAACAACAAAAAAGAAGGAAAAAGGAAAAGGTCGGTGTGATGCGCGGAACAGCAGCGACGACGCCGGGGGGGCCCGCAAGCATCCTCTGGTCTTTGTTTGAAAAACGCCGTTCAATTAGCGACAAAAGGGGAAGTAGCCCCCAAATGAAAAAAAAAAAAAAAAAAAAAAAAAAAAAAAAACTACTTTATTCGAAACAAGCCCCAACGCAATCGCAGAGGCATCGAACGTTACAGTTTCTACCATTGCTCCGAAGTACAGAAAAGAGCGCAAAATGATCCGGCGGTCGGAGCGAAAGCGACGCAGACCGTCGTTTTTCTCGCCATCCCAATCCCGGCCGACCTCCAAGGAGAAGACGAAACACGCCCGAAAAACCGCTCCCCAGCGCATCTTCGACGAGCTACCCCCGGAGATGCTCGAGATGGTGCTTCGCTTCCTAACGTACAAGGAAATCGCCGGCTCGGTGCGGCTCGTTTCGAAGTAAGTCGAAACAGTGGACGCACAGCCTATACGCCAAAGTATATACACTTGCCGGTCCGCAGGAAGTGCTCGGCGGTGGCCACGGCAATACTTAACGGCGCCTTTCTCTCGGCCGGTCCCCGAATCCGCGCGGCTCTCGAGCAAACGGACGCCCTGTCCGTGTCGTCGAAGCGCGAGTTCGACCGCGCGCTCTTCGGCAGGGTGCACGACTGCCTCGACGTGGTCCAGTCTCAGTTCGACCTGCTGAAGGCGTGTTGCTGGCGTTACACCCACCCAACGGGGGAGCGGTCGTTTGGCAGGTTGTGTTTCTACGGGGGGGCGATTCTGGACGACCTCGACGAGATGCTGGAGGACGCGGTGACGAGGCCAGGGTGCTTGATCAGCATGGACGGGCCGGCGCGGAGGATCGCCGAGTTCTCGCTCACGTGCAAGACCTTCATGAATTACTTTGAGAAGGTGTCCGAGCGCAGGGTGAACAAGTGCGTTTTTTTTTTTTACTGGGGCCGAAATCGTTGTTTCGATGGTTTCGAGGGTGTGTGTGTTTCGATGGCGCGTTGCAGGAGCACCCTGATCTCCGGTTGCAAGGCTGTCGACGTGCTGGACTGCCTTTTGATAGGCAGGGAGTTGCTGAGCTGTCGGTTGTCGGGGCAGCGGAGCGAGCCGGGCACGGCGGCGGTGAGCATGAAGGTTCGATACGTGCTTCGACGAGCTTGGTTTACGTGCCTCGAGGCGCCGGACGAGCAGAAAAACGCCACCGAGGACTCGTGGAGGGACCAACAGAGGTTCATGTACTTGAGGCTGAGGAGGCTCGTCGGGATTATCAACGAGCACCACCTCGAGAGAAAACACTACGACAGGGAATTGTTCTTCAGTTCCAACGCCCTGCCGCCACCCAGGCAGCTGCCCTGCTCTACCTACTCTGGTACGTATTTTGAAGCTTTTTTTTTTTTTTTTTTTTTTTTTTTTTTAACCATGAAATACGAGCGATTTGGACATGGATTTTTTAATTAATATTGTTATTGGTGGTCAGTAAAATAATTTTGATGAAACGTTTTTGGGACTTGCTGTTTCGATTGATCTTATAGGGTACGGCGAGTGCGGGGGCCGTTTTTATTATTACGGTAACATGAACGAGTACGCGTACGATAGTAAAATCATTGACGCTTGGAGGAAGAATTCGGCGAGGGATAGGATGCAGAAGAAGGTGCCGGAGGACAAGCCGTGCTACGATCTCGTGATCAACGTCGAGCTCAAGTGTTCGCCGGAGCTCGCTCCTCTTTCCGTGAGGTAAGAAATAAAGAGTTCTTAAAATACGGTAAAGAAAAAAAAAAATTATCAATACAATTTTTTTTTTTTTTTTTTTTTTTTTTTTTTTTTTTTTTTT